GAGTTAATACAAAATGCAGTTTGATTACTTCATTTATTAAGATAAAAGACCTATCCAACCCTACCTGCCCTGTGGGGAAAAGGAACGTGCACCATTTGTTAAATAATGACTTAATGGTGATTAACCACATTTTTTTTGCAAATCTCACTTCAGTTTCACTGACCACACCCAGGCTTCATTACTGCTAAACCAGATGAATCATGAAATCAGTTAAATAGAACCAGTCTGACAAAGTGAAGTAGACTAAAATACCTCAAAAGCAACACATCATGTAACAATTTGAAGAAACAGCTAAGAAAACAAGTCACTGAAATATATCATTGTTGAAATGGTTACAAAACCATTTCTTTGTTGGCTTTGGGACTCCAGTGTACTACAGTGAGAGACATTATTTACAGAGAAGAGAGAACTTGAAGCAGTGGTGAACCTTCCCAGGAGTGGCCAGTCTACCAAAATTACTCCAAGAGCACATCAGTGACTCATCTAGGAGTTCACTAAAGAACCCAGAACAATATCTAAAGAACTGCAGGCCTCCCTTGCCTAAATTATGGCCAGTGTTCATGATTCATGATAAGAAGGAGACGAAAATGTGATCCAGGAGAGAGTTCAAAGGAGAAAACCACTGATGACACAAATGAGTCTCTCACATTTATTAAAAAAAACATCTTAATGATCCCCAAGAATTTGGCAAAAAATATTCTGTAATTTCAGATGTAATCCCATTACATCTGATTTAAAACCAACACAATATTTCATAAAAAAGAACATCATACCAACAGTCAAACATGGTTGTAGAGTGATGGTCTGCTTTGCTGCTTCAGGACCTGGATGACTTCCTGTAATTGACAGAAACATGAGTTCTGCGTTCTACCAGAAAATCCTGATGAAGCAAGTCCAGCTATCAGTTCATGCACTGAAGGTCAAGCACATGTGGTTTATGATCAAAACACACCAGTCAACTTCTAAATAGCTAAAAAAAACAAAACAAAATCAAGGTTCTGAAGTGACCTTAAATGTAACATGTTTGTCCTCTAAATTAAAACGAGGCATGGCTAAATTCAAACAATTCCACAAAGAATAATGAGCCTTAATTCCTCCACAGCGATGTGAAAGACTAATTACTAGTTACCACAAACACTGAATTGCAGTTCTTGCTGCCAAGGCTGGCAAAACCAGTTATTAGGCTTACTTTTTCACACAGAGCCAGGTAGGTTTGGATATGCTTTTTTGTTCTTTAATAAATGGAAAGGTTATTTAAAGACTGCATTTTGTATTTACTAGAGTTATCTTTGTCTAATGCAGGGGTGTCGAACTCCAGGCCTCGAGGGCCGGTGTCCTGCAGGTTTTAGATATCACCCTAGGTCAACACACCTGAATCAAGTGATCAGTTCTCAGGCCTCTGGAGAACTTCAAGACATATTGAGGAGGTAGTTTAGCCATTTAAATCAGCTGTGTTGGATCAAGGACACATCTAAAACCTGCAGGACACCGGCCCTCGAGGCCTGGAGTTCGACGCCTGTGGTCTAATCTGTCACAAAAAAAATCAGGAAGGGGACTTTATTACTTTTTCATAATGCTGTATATATTGTTGGGATTCCTGCATTTAACCTTTGCGTTTGTCCTTCACAAACGCAAAGGTTATAAATTATTTCTTGTCAAAACAAAGCTGAGTACTAATCAACAAACTTTAGCTGAATACCAAACTAGACGGTTATTTATGTGTCATTCTGGGATAGCGGTGCCTAAGCAGACATAAAATCTAGTTAAAGTTATTTTAATGTCAGGTGAAACATTTTCAGTTTCAAATGACCTACCACTGAAAGCCTGGGTTGCAAAGATTGGTGTGGTTAGGCCAATGCACGTTTTTGGTTGGATCAGGAGAAGTTTGCATGGAGGTCAACAGTCTGTGGAACAAACTGAGTGGCCAGTAATCCATGGATTTCAACAGCTTGTCTGCACATCTGTCAAACGTTACAATAACTGTATGAAAGAGAGAGAAAGCCTTGTTTCATCCTTCAAGTGAGCCTTTAGAAAAATAGCTTCTCGCCTTTAAACTGAGAATAAGCCCTGATCATTACAGTATCACATAAATTTTAGTTAATGGTGATTTTACTAGTGTTACATTCCTGTATGCTTAGATTCTTTTGCTTAGATTCTTTTGTATGCTTAGATTCTTTCTGTGTATCAGTGCATGTTTCCTACAGGTGAGTTGCGGTTAACACTGTGTGACTGATGTGCACACATTGTGACCCTAATTATTTTCTGTAGTCACAATTTAACCACAATTTCCTGACTCGTATGCAGGTTATCTGCCGAAAGCTGTCAGAGAGAGCCGCAGTGTTCTCACTAACTTATTTTGAAAGCGCAGCAGACCAGTTGCCTAACTTTATCACTCATACAATCATTCACTCAAACAAGGACAAGCAGCTGTGTTTACATGGCCCAGCAGTGGTCCAACCAGAAAGAAAGAATGGCACTGGCAAAGGAATGGAGCCACGAGATCCATCCATTCAAAGAGGTATAATTGCCGCCATTAAATGTTACTGTCACTTTCACGTTGCAGCTTAAGTTAATATTCTGTCTTGTTCCAAGTCTGAGTTAATGATTCTTTCAGTGATCGTTAGCGTGTTTGAAATTTAAAGCATGAGGCATGAGCGGACTGTGTGGCAGGCAGTGTAGTCACGACCTGCTGTGTAGCAAGCGACTGAACATTCACGGCTTCTGTTCCATCCCGTCAGCCATGAACGAAAGACAAATGATTGCTCGGGAATGTTGTAACAACAGTTTTCTCTCATCCATTTCCTCCTGACACATTGCATGAGGTGAGAAACTACAACAAAGCCAAAACATTGGCACACTGTTATCCCTGATTTCACAAAAGGATGTTTTGCAAGCACAGGTTTGGCCCAAACTTAATCAGTGGGTTGGTACATCTGTATTGTAGCACACAGTCATAAAGATTGCCTGTGTTAGACGTAAAACAGTGGGCGGCTGTTGGTATTTTGCAGGTAGAGAGGACTGAGTAGCAGCTGTGATACTGCACTGTCTCGTTCTTCACGACACAAAAAGCCCTCTCTTCACAGGCAGCGCGGAATTCCTCCTCACAATGACTCTTACTGTTGAACATCACAAAGTGTGTGTATCTACGGGGAACAGATCCAGTTAATGTGGATTTCATGGGTGTTTTGGGCCCTTAAGCTCTCAAGCTATACAGGCCAAATCTTTCTGGTTCCCTTTTAATTAATAAGTTAGTTAATAAGCACATAGAGTGAGGTTTAAGGTAAAGTGGCTTCTTACTTCCCTGTCATTCCAGGTAGGAAAAAAGACACAAGGAAATAAATCAAATTCCTACAGTGTAGTAGACAGATAAAGAGGCGGGACCGTTAGCTGTTAGCTGATGTTTTTAAACGTTATGTGTAAAACAGTCAAACAGGAACTAGAAAGAGACATATTTCTCCCACATTATGTTCTCTCCATTGGCCCCATGTTTAATCCAGAATGTAATTTAAAATACTTCTTCTCATAGAGGACCCAACAAAACTGTCCCAACACAGTCCTGGCTTACTTGTGGTTCCCAGAGTTGAAGAATGGTAGGCAGAGCCTTTAGCTATCAGGCGCCTTTCCTGTGGAAACACCACCTAATATTAAGATGAAACTTGAAGCTTTCCTTTTTAATAAACCTAATAGATAGGGCTGGATCAAGTGGCTCTATTGCTATAGACTTTTTGTGCTCTGCTTTTTTCCTCTTCTCTCTCTTCACACCCTCAATCATTGACAGCAGACAGGTGCCCCTCGCTGTCTGGTCTATTGTCTGGTCTCTTCCTGTTATAAGAGAGTTCTTCCTTCCCATTGTCACCAAATGCTTGTTCATAAGTCAAGCAATTAATGTTGGGGTTTCTCTCTAATATTATAGGGACTTCACTTTGCGATATAAAGCAGCTTGAGGTGACTTGCTGTAAAGTGATGCTATATAAATTTACCTGAAATAAACTGAGGGAACCTCCACACTCAGTGATATTCAAAGGTTTTAGCACGCATGGTGTTTGGATCATTCATACTGAACTGGAACCAACACAATGCCAACACAATTCCAATTAAAAAGATGTATTCTTCTCTATGAAATCTGACCTGCATCTTTTATACTGTATGTTCCAGCACAGCGAAACACAGCGACACCAGCTCCATGCATGTATCTAGGTTGCCGACAGTTCTTTCAGCCCATTGGTTGAACCGGGACAATGTGTAGCTCCTCAAATGAAGTTTACTTACACTTCCTCACAAAAGAATAGCTTCCAACTTGCTTTATTGTCATAGGAACCTCGTGGTCCCTGGGGGTAACATGAGGCTGGATCCTGAAGTGTTCCTGGCACAGGTTCGGGACAAGTCTAGCCAAGCTGTTAAATTATTGCTTGTACAAATGTTTCCCTTGTTTCCAGCTGTTTGAATGGATCTTACAGTCCAACAATAGAAGGCTGGTACACACACACCCAATACCCTTTGAACAGGCACATTGTCAATTTTTAACTACATACATGAAATGTGTTTGACCAGAGATGAATGGGTATCTGATAAAACTGAAACGTCAAACTTTGCCAATACTCACACGAGTACACACGAGTAGGGCCATTTGTTCTGTAAAGGAGAGGAAGTGACAGTTTCAAATGACCTACCAGTTAAGACATAAATCTTAACTGGAGGAATAGAAATATGTCCACTATATGCTGACTATGTGGACAAACTGTCCCGAGACGCCCACTGAGAAGCGGTGGTCATGGGGAGAGCTGGCAGCTTTGGAGAGGATTCTTGCTTTTTGATCAGCAGCTCCAGCACGCCTAAGGGACGGGCGGAGGGACCTGAAAAACCAGTTGCCTGACATTATTACTTTCAGCGAGAAGCAACGTGGAGCCTCCTCCTCCTCCTCCACACTCTCCTCCCCTTCTTCACATAAACACTGTGATTCACAGAGAAACCACACACACACACTCTCTCTCACACACACTCACAGATATCCGTGATTGTCTCTGAACTCTCGCGCTCTCTCAGTACATCTGACCTGTATGCTTGTACCTGTGCCGCCACCACTTTAGCTACATTTGGGATTTATTCTCCCCTCCTGGAGTTGCTCACGCGGCTCTTCGACTCCCTGGTGTCTCCCTCCCCAGGCCTGCTGCAATTCTGGACTATGCCCCCCTCAGTCAGCTGAGGGAGGGGGCTCTTACACTGCTCAGGCTCCCATCCGGAGAAGGCTTGGGCTGAAATCAAAGAGGAGGTGATCGGGTAGGTCACACTAACCGCTGCGGTTTTCTTGGCAGATAAATTTTTTTGTTTTGATGTAAACTCAAAGAGTAAGAACTCCCTTTCCTGTTGAGTGTTTCCTGTTATGGAGCGGTGCTTCTCTCAGACATAACGAGAACATAGGTGATTCTCAGGTGAGGGGACAAAAAAATAGCTCACATACCAAAGAACTCTCATGTGTAGAAATCTGCTTTTAGTGCTAAAGAAGTGGACAAGTTTGAATTGAATTTGAATTAGTATCAGGCTGCATATCACCTATTGATAAGTGACTGTTTGATGGAGCAGCTGCCCTTATCTTCCCATCAGCTGGCACTATAATTGCAGGTAAATGCGATCGCACGTTGTGTAGTCCTGCTGTACCGATTCAGATGATGACGGTTTATTGATTTAAGATTTGTCACTGTGTTGTGAAACTCTCATTTTTAGTTTCTTGACAAGGAGACTTCTAAGAACAGAAAGATGACCTGTTCATCAGGTGCATTTTACTCATCTTCACACATTAAGCTTCTTCTAAGTGTTTAATGCCTGTGTAAATCTACCCAGCTAAAGTAGATATTCAAGTTTTAATCACGTTGAAACATTGCTCGAAATGTTGCCTGTTATTCAAGTTATTCAATGTGATGTGGTTTGATTTTATTTTGCCTTCTGTGATTTTCTTTGTTTAATTAGAAGATTGTGATCCTATAATTGAAGTATAAAAGAGGTTAAAATGTAATTAAATTGACATATTCACAGATTAACTCTGTGGCTCAGTAGGCTAACTTCTATTGTATGGACTTTCTTGTGTTGTCACATTTAACTTTGATGAGCATTGTCTTATAATGTGCTTTGTTAATACAGCATTAGCAAGTCACACCGTACGTACCAGCAAAGCAACACTATGACAGAAAATGAACTTATATAGAAATCTATTACAGACCAATTAGAAACGATGGGATTTTCATCATGGCAATGATGGATTAATTCTATGTCGTGTATCCAGTTAGAAGGAAAAGTGTGTTATACAACGCTAAACTATATTCTGAGCAGCAGCATCTTAGTCATTTAGGAAAATTATTCATCCTATTATTAGATGGTAATATTTCTGAGGAATCCTGAATGAGTAATTAGCACTTCATCTCAGACAGTTTGTGTAGGTTTGTCTCCTGATAATAATTCTGCCTGACAGATTTTAATTAGAAAATGTGTTCCTAATTAGTGTAAATACTCCCAGAGAATGTGTGAATGATGCTTTAACACTCCTTCAAGTAACTGGCAATTTTCTTTACAGCTTTCACATTTGTAAACAAGCAAAAACAAAAAAAAGAGAGACACTGAGTTCAGCATTCAGTCTGTGCAACTTACAATCCATATTTGGGTATTTTATTGGGCTTAAATGTTTTTTTTAAGTTCACACTTGAGAAATTGCTTGTTAATCCCCTCACTCACTTCATTTGTCATGCTTTTTGTGTGCTGAAGGATTTATGCCCTCCATCTGAAACCAGTTTAGTGTGATTCTCACTACAAATACCAAATTATCTGCGCTTGTTTGGAATTTGGCTTTCGAATTTATCCACACATGGATCTACATTTTTACAGTCTTCGGGGTCTGTCCAATGACTTAACAAGTGTCCTGCAGTTATCTCCGGCATTCACACCTTTACTTTCATGGTACGATCACTTCAGCTTTACATGAATAACAGCAACTGTTCTCTGTTGCAAATTTCTGTGCTCACTGACTGGGCTCAATAAAAGTCACAGTAAAATCCCTATTTGGTGTGACATCTGAATAACCAAAGATATGAGAGGTTCACATCAGAGATGATCCAGGCGAGCTCTCTGCTGTGACTTTAAGCCACATTCCGCTTTTCTAAGGAAACAATTGGGGCCATCTATGTCTTGTTAGCTTGCTTCAAAGTGACTGCTCAAATATTGGCTCCGACAGCCGTTTGAAGATTGTACTTTGAATGTACTTGTGAACATGGGTCGTGCGGGAGACTGCGTTGTTTTTAACGTCTGGGTGAGCATCTGCAGAGGTGGAACGAGTCAACAGCTTTGTCTGTTCATTCCCTCATAAAAAAAAAATAATATTAAAAAAAAGGAAACTAAATTGTTCCCGTTCTGCAACGAGTCCACTTTCTGGACAGACCAATAACCGGCTTGTTTACTCAGGGTGGAAGAAAGGATATTGAATTTGCAGTGTTAGTGAATAGCTGCAGTTTGTGGAACAGCAAACAAACTCTTATTACAGAACGGAGAAGATTGACCGACGAGGACACGGATGCTGACGTCAGAATCAGTGGTCTGTTGAGATTTAGTTTCAGATTCCTTTACTTTTAAGAAACCAGAGTAAAAAAAGATGAGAGGGTCTCTTGCTACTTATGCCCTATGTCTTTTAAAAGATTATCCTGCTTATGTATATTAACTGTAATATAGTTTCCCTGTGGGGGAAAAACAGATTTTCCATGCTCTGGGGTTTGCAATAAACATAAAACGAGTTAATGTGGATAAGTTGTATCAGGCACTTTTCTGAAATGTGAATTAAGTATTTAGATCTCAGCCAATATAGTATATAGTTTGGCAATAGCACAGCTACTACTGACAAATATGTTGTTCATTGTGTCCCGATGCAGGAACATGATGAAGGAAAACATACTTGGGCTGCTTTAGAAACAGTGTTATCACATATTTTACATCATAGCTGAGCAGGCAGAAATGTATTACTGAAAAGTCAATAAACAATGGCTGCATCATTTTTACTTTTCAGTGTTATATCATAAAAATAGCTCAAAATCTGGTACTGGCTGGACTCTTGTTGAAAACTGACACTTATAAAAACATATAAAGTATATTGACAATGGTGCAACAGATCATAAACTTTATGCACTCGGTTGGATCTTGGGTTTAAATCTGTGAAGTTGAAGTGTTTTTTTTCCTCCATCCTGCAGAATCCTGGCCAAGCCACCGGCCTTTACTGCCACTCGTGTTTAAATTAGCTTGACTGATTTCCCCTCTGTTATCTTGACAATAAAGGATGTATGTTTATGGCTTATGGCATTTCCAATATGTGGCTAAGTTGATCAGCTGATTGCACTGTTTGGTTTGTACACCAGGAATGTGGTAGCCAGTGACCAAGCTATGAAAGGACCGGTGTTGCTTTAAAATGTTTACTGTAAATAAAAAACGATCCGGGTTCAAGCCAAAAATCCATCTGCTGGCACCTGTTATATGTTATTTAACTAACCCTGGAGAGAGCATATTCTCTAAGATTTACAATCAAAATCAAGCCAGAAAAGAGATATTATACACATAAAAATACACTTGGACAATTAAATGAGGTCATTATCTTTTATCACAAGCTTTCAATCATGGTAAATGGCTTAGGATAACATTTGCAATTTGTTCTACTCAGGGAAACGGCGCCATGATTCATTTGCCATCAAACTCGAGTTTTGTCTTCTGGGCAGTTCAGCCGAAGTAAAGGAGTGGGTATCGGATGACGATGTCTGCACGTGAATTAGTCAAGGTGTGTTAACATTAGGTGTTTTTCCTGGGCTGAGGGCTCTCCCAACCACTGCCACATAGCACCCGTCCTAAACCTAAACTGCAGCTCCTGTGATGTATTACTTACGTCTGTCAACACACCTATTCTGTGAGAGGCGTCACACCCACCAGCTACTAAATTACAAGCATGTCCAGTTATTTAAAGAGATGCCTCTGTACCACGAAAACGCCAAGTAAAGAGGGTGGTTAAGGAGTGAAACGTTTAGTTTAAAATTACAGTACAGCTATTGGGGAGCTGTCCCAGGGTGTAACCTATGACAGCTGCTTTGGGCTCCAGTCTCAAAACAGCCTTTGACTGGATAAGAAGTTACGAAAATGGACAGATTATGTTTCAACTGTACAAAAGACGACATTAAATCTCCATCCTGGGACGGTAAATGTGATCTATCTCTGCTTAATCTGATCACCTCTTTTTGATAAAAGCTGGTACATATCGTTTGTAGCACAACAAATACAGCAGCTCTACATTTGAACCTTAAAGAAAGAGCTTGTTCTTTCTCTCATGGTAACTTATTATATAATCACCAAAGACTCAGCTATGATAAAGGCACTTTTAACAAATTTATTAAATTAGTACACCTAGCTTCTTCCCATTTAAGCCAGTTAACCATATAATTTTTTTATTCTTTTTTCCAGTAAATGAATACAGACTCGTTATTTCGTCATGTTCTGTTAATTTGCTGTAAACAACTAATGACAAAGAACTAATGAAGACATAATAAAGGATTAGAAGCTAAAAATACAGCACAAGTACTTTAAAGAAAAGCACTGTAATTGTGTTATTTGCCACCATCTGGAAAATGTACACTATTCTTTTTACATAGTGGGCCAATAAATGAACAAATACAGTAATAATACTTCAAAGGAAGATATAGTTTAAAACTAGACGTTGAAAAGTACTGTAAAGAAAAATACTATAGCTATCAATAAGGTACTTTTTAAACACACACATATGTCATTTGAACTTTTTGCCTATAGGAACAAAAATGATTCAACTGGTTACATAACCACGTCATCCCCATAGTGTATTCCCTACTGTTTCCAAAGCAATGGTGTAACTGACCTTACACATCAGACGATTAGTTAGCCACTTATCAGAAGCTGTCAACACAGCAAACAGCTGACATGATGTATGCCATTATTAATCTCTTTGCCTAATAGTATGTCAACACCTGGAGAGTCATTTATGCAATATTTGCCCGATGGATAAGACATAAAGTACACGCACACACGTATCGAGTACTAGTTTCGTTACTCTATTCTCAGAGTGTGACTACAGTTCTGATTTTACTGCAGTGAAAACAATAAAATCACAATTTTAGCCCTGACCAATTTTTGGTATTTGTGACTTTAAGTGTCTGTGCATTCGTGTCCTTGAGGTTTCGCATACAGTATATATTGGTCTGTAAAAAGACCTTGCGCAGTGCTTCCAGGATATGCACAGTGGCTTGTAGGTGAAATGTAAACTCGAGCATGCCACTGATGTTTAAGACTGAGCACAAAAGACTGCACTAATCCATACACTTCATGGGGGAAACAATAATCTAAAATCTCATAATCTGTAAAGTAGGTAAAAGAATGAATTAGAAATGACGTGTCCAGTGTATACGCAGTGCTGGGGTGATATTTTCCGTACTTTACTGTGACTATAATTGATATGATATGTGTCAGGATGTGTGCGTGGGATGATCTTCCGTGTGCCAAGATTTTCAGCTTTTTATAGCTGATGCAAATTTTCATCCGCTTGTGCCACCTGCTCTGATTGTGCCGCTGTGCCGGCAAACACGCTCCTGTTAAAGAAATCTAAATAGTTCTGTGATTTCAGCCTGGTAATTTTAAGATTAGTTAATGAGTGGTGGAAGTGATTCGGTCAAAAAATGTCAAATTATTATAAGATACAAAACCACACACACACACACACACACAAACACAAATAAATGCTATTGTAATGTCGGCACATTAAATCTTCCACTTAATCACCGCCTCATTGAGTCACGCTTGGATGACTCACTGAGCTCAATGTGTATCCTTTGGTTTACATTGCACTGCGTGAAAAGAGGATGAGGAAGTCCAGTGATGACGCCAGCGTGCTACAAGTGGAAACAAAAGTAGAAGTGATATTTATAGGATGTCTTTATGTAAATCTATAAGGAAATCCATTTTATGGAAGTTAAAAAGTTTGTTCGTGTCAGGTTTGCTTTGGTTGCGAGATGGTGTCGCTGTCCTTATCAGTGTCAGAGGAGAGATCGGTGACAGGGACAGCCCTGACCTACAGCTGTGATCTGATTGTTTCCTGGAGTTTCTGGGATCCTCCCGCTTGACAGAGGATCTCTTCGTGACATGCTTGCAAAAAAGTAGACTAGATTGCGATCACAGTGTTCTGAGTACAATAACAAAATCACACAGGAGCCCTGATTGTCGACTTGCAGTAAAATAATATCTGAGGGTGACTCTAGGAGTCATGGCTGAGAGATCGCTAATCTATACCTTTTCATTTCTAGAACCTTGTTTGTAGGAATAAACTAATTAAATCTTAGCATCAGAAACTTCATTTTGATAAAACAGCTTGCACATGGTGGGGATTTAACCATTACATAAGCATTAATTTTGGTAATTACCAATACTGTTACTTTAGCCAATATCGGACGTTGTGTGGTCTGCTAATAAGTTTGTTAAGCACTGTAACTTGAAGACTTTAGTAAGCACTATTATACTTATATATTGTAAAAGAGAATGTGTTTTTTCAGTTAAAATTGTATTCATGTTTATTTTGAATCTGACTACGGGAACTTTGAGTTTTGAAAACGTTAGGAATGTGGCAGGATTACCACCACGTTTAACAGCTGAAACTAGAAAAGCAAATGCTGTGCTTGGAACGTAAAATCTTTCCCCATTCTTGCTTTATCTAAAATGTTACCTGCTTATAAGTACAGAGCCTCCATTGTAGTAATTTTGATTTATTATATGCCAAGTGTTTATGTAAGCTAGATTGCAGACAGTTCATCTTAGCGCCCGGGCTCTTTTACCACAGTTTAGCATTACTGGTGTCTTCACAGATGTTGACTAATGTCACCTTATCACCATGAAAGCTTCCGGCTTCCGTAATAGTCCTTGTTCTCCTTAGTGCCAAGGATGTGATTCCTCACACCACAACATAGTTTTCCATCTCACTTCAGTCCATTTTAAGTGAGGTCTAAGTCATTAAAGATAACCCTAACCCAACATTTTGGAGAAGGGAAAGACTGATTTTTATGGAAATACTGAAAATGGATTTTGATGTGTGTCAGTTGGGAAGATTATTTTCTTTGTTCCCTGATTGACGAGAGAAGGGAATGATGAAAAAAGAGTTGAATATATTAAAAAAGGTAACGGGAAAAATTGAAAAATTGAAGGGAAAGGTCAAAGTCAGGGAATGGGATAATTAATCATTATCCCCTAATTAATGTAACTGAGGATAGGAAAGGAAAGGGGAGCGAAGGAGGACAACATTTAGTAAAAGGGAATTAATAGGAAGTAAGGGAAGATTAGATTTTTGGAAATGGAGGAAAAGACACAAGAAGAGGAGGGGAAGGTTAGGCTTCAGGAAATGAAGGAAATGAAGAAGGGGTAATGCTGAGGTTAGTCCAGTGGAAGGAGGAAGAAGAGATGAAAAGGTGGGATTTAGGGTTTAAGAAAAAAGAAAACAACATAAAAGGGAATTTTTTTTAAAGGAGTGGAAAGAGGATAAAGGGAAAAGGGGGAGGGAAAGTTGATATGAATGAACAGGATCATTTAAAGAATATAGTTAGGAGGAAAGGAAGGAGAGGGCGCAGAGGTTTGGGATTTTGGTTGAAGTCATCTCTAATGATGACTTAGGCCTCAGAGGATTAGTGCAGTGTCACCTGAGATACCACAATCCTGGCCATTCTCTGTTGGCTTTTGTCCTCGTTTCTCTGGATGTTCTGAATCTTGTAATTATATTATTTACTGAAGATGATGATTTGCACTTTTGCGTTGGTAAGCATTCTTAAAATGTGAAATGGTGGACCGCTGCCCACATTTGCTTCCCTTGTGCTTAAAAAAGTCAAAATGTTACAAAATGTGATAACGTAAGGAGGTGTTTATGCACAGGAGGTGCAGGGTATATGAAATAAATAAATGTTAAGTACCCCAAAACGAGAACTGTAGGGCAGGAATACAGGAACGCAGTACTGGGTCATATTTGTGCTCTGTTTTTTCAGCTTTGTTCTGACTGCCTGATGAATATACATCCCTGAAACAACAAAGGCTCTGGCAGACATGACAAAGCCTGGCATCAATCAAAAGCATGAGAACCCAACAATCACATCCTGTCAGTCAGTTTAATACCATTTGTTTGTGTGAGAAATCTCGTCAGAGACGAGTTATGTGGCTGGCAACATATTTTCTGCTTTGACTGCTTCTGTAGACTGTGTCATGAAATACATCAAAGATTTTAAAAACAAAAAAAGGTGTGTATTTTGCTCTCTTATCTTCCCCTTACCCCCAAATCTGGTTCTGCCAGAGGTTTCATCCTGTTATAAGGGAGTTTTTCTTTCCCAGTTTCACCAGGTGCTTGCTCATAGCCTCTAATAGGGGACGGCTGTTGTGAATATATATAAATAAAACTGAACAGAAAAGCTTTATGATTGCTGGAATCTTCTGGTACCACAAATCTTGGTATTCACTCGTACTTTTTATTGTACTGTTCTGGTGAGGCTTGCCATTCTTGTGTTTGCCATAAAACATTCAGTCATTACCAACTTTCCCTCCACTGAGCGATCCATCTGCTATTTTTATTCCCCATCTGTTCTTCTACATTCCTCTTATTTTCTAGATGTGTTATAAATCTATTGCAGAAACGGTTTAAACCTTATAATATTTCTCTCGAATGAATGTAGTGCTGTTTTAGTCTGTGGCTGACGTGATACTTTTTGTTCTTGGCAGGTTATTCCTGAAGATGCAAGCTTCAACCATCTCACCAGTGACCAACACTACCGTAACTTCGAACACAACCGCTGTCACCAAGTCCAAAGAACAAATACTCATTCAAAGTAAGAACATCATCTGTGTGTGAGCTCCAAACTGCAGTGTCATCTTGAACCATCAGTGAAACACATCCTTGTCATCAAGGTTTTGTTTTTTTGTAGACACCATGATAGTGCTTTGAGTTAGATAAGAAATAATCAGAAGAGCCCGTCCTCAGAAATAAAAACCTGCTGCGTCATGAAGTCTAATCTGCACATTTCTTATGGGCTTGGCAGACAAGTATTTGGTAGAAAATATTTACCGGCGTCTGTTTACTTTTAGTGATATGGTTGCTAGGTCACAAGTCATTATTTCTGGAGGACACACAAAATAAGTTGCACCATCACAAGAAGGCAGAATGTGTATAAGACGGCATAACTCATAAACAAACTGTCAGAGAGTTCATTGCTGATCTTTCCTCTCTTCTGTGTCTCTCAGGTTCTGGGGCTATGATTGCTGTCATTGTCATTGGCATTATTATCATTCTCGCCATTTTACTCATCATCCTGAAGACGTACAACAGGTGAGACGACATTCCTCGGACACTAGGCGATTCCTACATACCGAATGTTTCAAGCTGTAAAGCAATGTTGCTATTTCTGTTCACTTCGTGGAAGACTAGAGAGCTGCTTCAGCTTTTCATCTTGCTTTTTTTTATCACGTTCCATTTTATAGATACTATAATACCATCTTCTGTATCAGATTCTTATTTATTCTCTGCCTGTGGTTCCCTGACATTTTGACGAGGGACTTTTTCACTATAAAGTGGCACAACCTGACGTACAGGTCACATCTATCTATATATCTGATTTGCAACCGGTAGCTACAACCACACAGGGGCATTCCCTTCTTAGATTGTTTAACTTCAATAAAGACATTCCAACACATGAGAGGGACTTATGACCCTTTGACAATCTAATATATGTAATGTAAATGAGATTTTTATTTTATTCATATAGCTACAACAGTAAAAAGACAAAAGACTGCCAAGTAAAAAACTGCTATTATTATGGAATTATTACAGGAATCACAAATTTAAAAGAAAAATCTATAAATTTGTCTTCACAATGTCTTTGTTTGTTTTTTGTTCAGGCGGACACGTGAATCCAGACTCCTGGGAACCAGTAGAAGTTCAAAACCTCGTCCGAAGATGTCCCAATCTACAGTTCAAAGCAACTTTCCGCTTACGACCGTGGGAATCAGCTCTGTGTCAGGGAGCATCACCAACTCAAACCCAGCCTCAGAGAGCAGCTTCCGGCTGCCCAGAGCAGAGCTCACCAGTGCGGAGGGGAATCAAGTTGAGCAGTTCAGCACCAACAGCGGGTCCACCGTGGTCACCATACATGAAAATCCATCAATAGAAAACACATAGCACCAAGACTGCGGTTTAGTCTCAAAACAGGCACTGACTGATGTGTTGTTACATATTGTGCTGACTGAATGCTGTGGAAACTCAATCTGTGACCTTGTCACTGTTAAATCTCCAACAACTGGGCCACTGGTAGAGACTACAAGGATATCATGAGGTCTTTTGGGTGTACAATTCAAAGATGATCAAAGCAGCACTGGAAAAAGACACAAGGGAAATGAAGGATCTGAAAACGGAAATTTCCTTTTGAAGAACTTTGGCTAAACTCAGTGTTCAGAGAATAGTCATTGCTGTTTGTGCTCTTTGCTGATGTTGCATTACTGCTAATGAAGTAATGTGTAATGTGGACAGCTATGGGCCTATGGCTGGATAATGCTGGTCCAGTGATGCAAATTTATGTTTTCAAGAGGTTTTTGAGTAAACATAGAATTCATCTAATTGAAGGCATGGAAAATGATAACTCTTTTTGTAGTTGTGTAATGGACACCCTTTATGACTGAGAAAATGTGTTAATGTTCCAGATTTATTTTGAGTTCTATTAACTTTACATCATTCTGTACTTGTGAGCAGTCGCACATTCACTCTGATTATTTTGTGTTTTTAAAAATCTCTAAAATATCATTACGTCCTTTTTTCGTTCTTTCTTTCTTTTCTTTTTTTTACCACGCAGAATGAAGAGACCTATGTGAAACAGCCTGTCAGCCTTACTTCCTGATGTGAATCATTTTTAATTTGACATTAAAGTATTTTGCACTTTATTCTCTTTGGTCCATGTATTTGTATTGTTTGTAGATGTTCACTAAATGAAATGAAGTGGAAAATAAAAACTAATATTTGTAGTAGTGGATTGTCTGTTTATTACAATGAAGTAATTAGCACAGAGAATAATAATAATAGTAGTAGTAAAAAAATTATATTTGGAAGCGGAAGAGTGAGTCCCTGCGCCCTCTGCTGGTAGTCTCTGGAAAGGTAATGACTGGAAAGCCTCAAAGCTGCGTTCAAGAGGGAAAGAACTGTTCGCAAACTCCAACGACCAGAAGCTGCAAAGGAGAAAAACAGCCCACACCAATTTATTTTTGCACATTTCTTGGACAAGTTTAAGGATTTGCACTGTAAATTCTTGCACTATGAATTTATTCGTTTGAATAATGTTCGCTAACAACTGAAAAACAATCTTGAATGCGACTTATAGCGACTGTTGACAACCAGGACGATGGTGACCGTAGGTGAGTTGGCAATAATCTATTGTTTCCCTTAAAAATCATATTAGTTGTCAAGAATTTGAATATTTCGTCTGTATTTTCATTATATTTCCGAGTTTCCGCCTCCTCACCAGAATTAACAACGCAAAGCTAAGCCAGGAGTAGTTAGCATCTTACTACCTATGCTAAGGAAGTAAGCTCGTTTTAATGTGTTGCAGTCGAGCTGCTGAGTCTCCTGTTGGTGTCGGTGCTGTGGGGCTGCACCAACCCTTTCCTAAAGAGAGGCACCGAGGGGATAGAAAATGTGACAAAAACCAACAAAGTGGCACAGCTGCTGGCGGAGCTCAGGTTTCTCTTTCTTAACATCAAGGTAGGTTTTGAGACAGCAGATTCGCGCATTTTAACGTAGACGGATGTTACCGTAACTGGCTCAGTTGCTCCCTCTCCCTTGTGTTGCTCTACAGTACCTGGTCCCATTTCTGTTAAACCAGAGTGGTTCAGTGGTCTACTATTACACACTTTCAACCACAGGTGAGACCTAGCACAAGTGTAGCCTGAAACACTAATGAGAACTTACCAATAGAGGTGTACGGATCGGGCCAAATATTGAGTGTATCGATACCAATGGTGGTATTGGATCAGATCGATATTTTGTTTCTGCGTTAAATAAAGTGTTTTGGGGTTTTGGGCTTTTTTGGAAATATATCTCAAACATGCGCTATGAAGAATGGCTTAACCTTTTTGTGTTGACTATCTGTCTGTTTATTTATAGCCTACTACAGCATAATTAAACAACAGAAGTTGACCCAAAGTGCTTTAGAGCCAGGTACATTTACATTCTAGGTCTTAAAAAAACAAAACAAAAAACTGTTTCTGAATGCATGAAAACCTTGTATTTTATTGGGTTATTATTATGAAAAGTAGTCAAAATCACAGTAAATCACAAAGTTTTAATGGTCATTAAAATATGTTCAAAATTTCAAATGATGATTCGTCCCATAAATCATGACACACTGATATACCTATATAAGCTATATTTATAGGCTAAAAGTATCGGTATTGGTTTAGTATCAGTATTACTGGCCCTATATTTACTTCATATCAGATCATACCAGAATTTCCTGTGTGCCAATAAGCCACCGTAGATTAGTTTTTCACATGGCTTACTGGATAAATGTTAAATGTAATTTCTTTTAAACACTACAATTATAATTTGACAAATATCATAATCTAGAATTGCAACTTTGGTTCCTTTTATAATGCATATTTTACAGATTTTCATCTTCTTAATGTTAAATAGTATAAAAATGCCACAACTGAGCCAATGTTGACCTTTTAAAATCTCATTTTCAGTCTTTAATTTGTAGTAATCTTGGATTAAAAAGGCAGAAAATCATCATACTTAATGGAACATGTTTGAGAAATTACTTTTATTGCTTTACCTGACACAGACTGTCACTGTCTACCTTCTTTGTAGACTAGAAATTAATTTTTTTTAAAAAACCTTTCTTCTCATCCAGAGTTATCATTTGCTGTTCCTGTAGCCAATTCCCTCACCCTCCTTTGCACTCTGCTGACTGGCAAGTGTCTGGGGGAAGAGATTGGAGGCAAACGTAAGTCACTCATGTGATAACACTACATTTGTGTGCTTTTTTTTAAAATAATGAGGCCAGTCACACAACTGATAGTATTTATCTAGAAAAGAAAAGATTCAGATGCTGATTTTGAAAATCAGACTTTAAGCTGATTAGAGTCATGATTAAAAAGAAAATTAACCACTCTCTAATTCAAAGGTTTTACATATCAGGAAGCAATAAAAATCATCTGATGCTTTGCAGTTCTTCAAATTAAGTAAATACAGTATCGGTTGTACTAAAGAACATAGCATATTACACGCTGTCCTTATTTATGTAACATAAACTAAGCCAAATGCAGAAGGATTATGTGAAACGCTAAATACAACCTTACTTCTTCTTCTACAGGAATTAATAGGGTATTTAGGAGCCAGATTAATAGATTACAGATGTGATTATTCGGTGGAAAATCATTTAGGTCAATTGCCATACTTCCAGAGAGTGGATATGCTAGGAAATTCATCCCAAGGTCAGATTGTGCAATTCTCAGACAAACTTGAAAAAAAAAGAAAACCGAGAGCTACATCTCAGACTCTACAAGCCTCCGTTAACATGTTAAATGTTAAAGTTTATGACAGTTCAGTTAGAAAAAGACTGAACAAGTATGGCTTGTTTCGAAGGGTTACCAGGTCAAAGCCTCAGCTTTCTAAAAAGAACATGGCAGCAGAGCTGTGGTTTGCAAAGCTGCAGCTGAACAAACCGCAAGTCTCCTGGAACAATGTCCTTTGGAGTGACGGGACCAAAATAGAAATGTTTGGTGATAATGCACAGAGTCACATTTGGCAAAAATCAAACACGGCGAATCAGCACAGACACCTCATACCAACAGTCAGCACAGTAATGGAGGGGTGATGATTTGGACTTGTTCTGCATCCACAGGACCAGTAACTGCACCTTGCAGTCACTGTGTCAGCATCCGTAAGCCAAGGTGTTCTAGTCAAATGAGAGGCTACATGTGTGTCTGACAGCTAAAGCGTGACTTGATCCTAACCCTTGCAGCACCACAGCTACAACAGAATCGCTGCAAAAGAAAAGAATAGAGGTGTTGCAATGACCCAGTCAAAGTCCAGACGTCAACCTGAAATGCTGTGCTTAAACAAATCCCCGCTAACCTCAATGAACTGAAGCAACATTGTAAAGGTGATTGGGCCAGAATGATGTGACAGATTGAGTCATACAGAAAACGATTACTTCAAGTTATTGCTGTTAAAAATTGTTCTGCAAGCTATTGAATAATGAGGCGTACTTAATTTTTTACACACTTCGTCTGTATTTTGGTTTAGTTTTTGTTTAATTAATAATGACACAGTTTAATATGTTGTTGTTCATCTGAAGTTGTGCTAAGACATTTCTTTGTACCATGACTGTAGCTAATTAATAAATACATGAGCAAGACAAGTCATTTTTGCCTTGTAAATTATACAAGCAATACAACTCCTCCTATACTTCAAAAATACTGTACTGGTGGTGTTCTGAACTTTAAGATTTGCAATTTCTTTTAACTTTAACTATCTTGATATCCTTGCCCACACATCTGTCTGCAGAGGCTGTCGTAGGAATGTTCCTCACCATGGCTGGTATCACTCTGTGTATTATAAGCTCCATTGATGATACTGACAGAGATACTGGGAATCAGAATATGACCCAACCCATGTACTGAAGGAGATCAGGATTAAAGCCAATTCCTCTGCGCCTTCAAATAAATCCTTCGCCATAAGTGGAAAGACGGGCGATGAAGCTGGAGCAGGACTGAAGACAATGATTTATATTCAGAGAGCAGCTTCTGAGAGCGGCGATGCTGATGGGAGAATTGTGTCTAAACTAACTCAAGCTTCAAAAGGCCTGTCCAGAAAACTCTCACACCATGTTGAGGGGGGGAAGCGGGTTCATGGAGAGTTCACCACAGAGCTTGACTCGATTTATGACGCTTGCATAGAAAAGCGGTGGTTGTTAACTTTTACTTTTAAACGCTCCGCAGCTCCTGCCATGTGACTGGCATCTGCATAGATGCTGCAGAGACCACATATAAATAAGCCCGGGGTAGATGTCAGCTTCTGGTTTAATGGGGACAGTTTGTGGTGGCTGCCTTTAGCCTGCTGTAGAGTAAGAGCAAGGCATGAGGGGACAATGTTGTTGTATAGCTTGAGGATAAAATCTGATTTATTTATTTAATTTTTTGTTTCATCTTTCACCTTTCCTTTTAATGTTTACTCGGGATATACTATGAAGGAATATACTGCTTTTATTTTCCAAACTACTTTTGAAAGAAAAAGACTTTAACTGTGTAAAGAGTTCAGAAATTGGTCACATGTACAGTAATATATATGTTTATTGTCACATTTAATTGATACAAGACACTGTACAGATGACTGTTAATATTGTGCTCTGTTCCTGTGTTGTTGCTGATATTTTATCAATAAATTCTTGGCAACACTACTGTTCCCCAACACTCATTTAGTAGTCACTCATTTTTCAGTATAGGTTTAAGATTTACCCTAAAAAATGCTTTTTTTTCTGTACACATAGTGAATATATTGCAGCATTGAACATTTACACGGTATCAGCATAAGAATCATGCCTGTAAAACTGAATGGACAGAATGTCATAAACGGGTGTACGATACAATAAACTTCAGTTTGAGCTGAAGCTTGTAGAGCTTCTGATAGTGTATCCACCTGTTGTAGTGTTTGTTCTGCTTGCACTTCTCACGCTTACATTTTCTACAATAAAACAACATACATTAATGTTGTTATTTGGCTCATTACCACAGTTAAAGTACTACTAATTTAATCAAACGTTCATGCGGTGTGAAACTGTTAGGACGCCGTGACCTCCTGATGATCGT